AAATCACGGAACAATTGCATATGGTCTAACAAACATTAACAAATCGCAAAACCTGCCTGGATCTCCTAAATGGCCCACATCCTCATGCGTTCATTCACTATCCAAGAACTTGGAAAAGGGAAGCTATGCCATGCCAACCCGTGTGCCCTGATTCAAACAATGCGGATCCTAGTGCAATTTTAAACTTTCAGCCGCCACAGCCACCGCAGCCCCCGCAGCCCCCGCAGCCGCCACAGCCACCACAGCCACCGCAGCCGCCGCTATCAACACCACCACCATGAGTTGGGGGGAAATCAGATTGATGGCCAGCAAAGCCTCCATAGCCTCCCAGAAAACCGCTTGAGTGGCCATGGTCATGCTGTGCAGGATGCCCACAGAGGATCTTTTTGAGATTTGCAAGTTTGAGAGTTTCCCACTGAGAAATCAACCCCGAGAGTTTCAGATGGCTCACGGTCGTCCATGTGGCACACTCGTAATGATGAACATCTAATTTGGCAAGGGGCCAAAGTCTCCAAAATAGACATAGCCAGCGCCATACCTTGGCTGTGAATGGCTGTGAGAGATTTTCAAGCACAGAATCATAAACATGGAACTACCATGAACTACCAGTGGTTTTCAAGAATCCCAGAAATGTGCCTCCGAACTTTCATCGAAATCATGGCATTTTGTGTTGGCTTTCCGGCCAGCAGCCAAAGGAAGGCATCGTCATAAGCAGCAGAGTCCGTGGCACCTGTGTCATGGTCTCTATCCTGGCGCAGCGGCATCTTGATCCTCTTTCAACGGTGCCCCTGACATAAACAGAACTTCAGAATACATTTGAGTACATAATGATCGAAGGAAATTTAGAAGTCAAACCTCCGACAATATGGACAGATGGAAAGGCAGAGGTAGGAAGAGTCAGAGAAGAGAAGAGAAGAAGAGAGAAGTTCAGAGAAGAGAAAGCGTCCGAAGAAAGAAGATCCAGGTGCGCGAAAAGGTAGGAAAGTCGCAAAACACTGTGTTTTTCTCATGATTTGTGGCTCGGAGGGTCGAAAAGTAGGCTCGCTAAAGCGGCGGGTGCGGAGCCAGCTGGCCAGGTGAGAGATGAAAAAGTGCACGCCGTTGTGGCGCAAAGCAAATTTCGAAGTCAAAATGTACAAAGCACCTCAGCCTTCGGAGCACTTTTAAGAGTTGCGATGTGGGAAAAGTGCACGCCGTTGTGGCGCGAAGCACATTTCGAAGTCAAAATGTACAAAACACTTCAGCTTCGGAACACTTTTAGAAGTTGAGATGTCGAAAATTTGCACGCCGTTGTGGCGCGAAGCACATTTCGAAGTCAAAATGTACAAAACACCTCAGCTCCGGACCACTTTTAGAAGTTGCGATGTCGAAAAAGTGCACGCCGTTGTGGCGCGAAGCACTTTTCGAAGTAAAAGTGTACAAAGCACCACATGTTCGGACCACTTTTTGACGGTTCAGATGCCGTTTGACGTGGCAGGCGCAAGGGATTGTGCACCTTGTCAAAAGTGAGCAAAACGTAAATGTTTTGTAGCATTTCTAACAACGATGGCTGGCTTGGGACATTTGAAGAGGATCTACAAAGATGCATTTTCCGTGGCAGGCGCAATACAAGAGACATGCTCATCAGAGCTGTTAGGAGGTCCGGGCGCTGGTTGCATTTTGGAGCATCAGATCTTCAGGTTTGCTGAGATGATTTTGCGTGACAGGTGCAACACTTTGTATGACCTAGGCGCAGTACTTTAGACAGATGGAGCGGAAAAGTCGCAAAAAGGCATTGGTACGAGGCCGTCAGCTCTGCACTCAACTTTCCATGTTTGAAGGAAGTCTCGCACAATTCTTTCGTTTTTGATGTTGTCAACTTCGAAAAATGATGAAGTCTCGCAGAATTGCTTCGTTTTTGACGTTGTCAAGTTCAAACATTGAGGAAGTCTCGCAGAATTCTGTCGTTTTTGATGTTGTCAACTTCGAAAAATGAGGAAGTCTCGCAGAATTGCTTCGTTTTCAAGCTTGCAGATAGACAAATAGATAGAGAGACAACTACAACTGCAACTACAAGTACCACTACACTACTCTACTACTACAACTACAAGTACAAACATACTACGCTACATTACACAACACTGATTACACTACGCTATACTAATTACATCTAATTACGCTACACTACACAAATTACACTACACTACAACAGCTACTACAACAGCTACGACTACAACAGCTACGACTACAACAGCTACGACTACAACAGCTACTACTACTACTACTACTACTACTACTACTACTACTACTACTACTACTACTACTACAGCTACTACAGCTACTACAGCTACTACAGCTACTACAGCTACTACAGCTACTACAGCTACTACAGCTACTACAGCTACTACAGCTACTACAGCTACTACAGCTACTACAGCTACTACAGCTACTACAGCTACTACAGCTACTACAGCTACTACTACTACTACTACTACTACTACTGCTACTGCTACTGCTACTGCTACTGCTACTGCTACTGCCACTGCTACTGCTACTACTACTACTGCTACTACTACTACTACTACTCCTACAGCTACTACTACTACTACTACTACTACTACCACTACCACTGCCACTGCCACTGCCACTGCCACTACCACTACCACTACCACTACCACTACCACTACCACTACCACTACCACTACCACTACCACTACCACTACCACTACCACTACTACTACTACTACTACTATTACAATTACAACTACTACCACTACCACCACCACCACCACCACTACCACAGCTACAACTACAATTGCAGCTACACTACATCACACTACAGTACGCAAATTGAACTGCAATACATTACAGCTACAAATACAACTACAACTACAACTACACACACTACATTACACAACACTACACTGCACTAATTACATTACATTACATTACACTACAACTGCAACTACCGCTACATTGCACGACACGACGCTACAACTACAACTACACTACTTTACACTACAATACACTAGACTACGCTACACTATACCACGCTACAGTACACAACACTACAGTACATAACACTACAGTACACTACAATACACTACACTAATTACACCACACCACAACTACAACTGGAACTGCAACTACACTACACTATATAATTACACTACTTTACAACTACAACTTAAAACTACAACTCCACTACACTACAGCTACAACTACACCTACAACTGCACTACACCTACACCACACTACATCCAGCAGTTGTGGTGAGGTGACCACTGCAACCATTGCAGCCACTCCAGAAAACACAACTCCAACCACCTTTCGGTCCATCAGTGGATTCGCTCTGCCATCTGTGGTTCACAACAACCAACCTCCCCTCTAGGTTTATTATTTTTGAAACTTCCGCCAGCGCCTTGTGCGGCACTAGTATCTGTGGTATCTGATATTTTGAAATAGACTGATATTATCCTGGAGATGTTCTTCAGCTCTAAACATGACCGCTGACCGCGGTCACCTCAAATTCACGAACTTTCAGTGCGACGGCGCCTTGGGGGGATCAGCCCGTAACAACCCCTTGGTTTACCATAATTTTTCCTTTAAACAATTGTCATTATCATACATTGATAAATTATAGTATAAAAATTGGGGTCGGGGTACACCACCCATACTTTGACAAACCATGACAAACGCATATTAGCAGTGCTCAAAACCCTCTGTCATTCCATTTGGTTGGTCAATAAGGATTCCAGCAAATGGATTGTGACAGTCCCCAATATGGATAATGTATTCAGTAGAATGTGAATAACCCCCCAAAAAAACAAACTCATCATCAAACAACAGACCAAGATGGGTTTTGAACACTGCTCATATTACTAGATGTGCAGCTTTAGCATCCCATGTCCCACCATGTCTCCCGGTCCCGTAGCGGAACACCAACGACCACGTCAGAACTATTCAGTTCTCCTGCAGAGTGAGGCAAAACATAGGTTCAAGAAATGGGTCTGCCTAAAAATGTTGGATTAAAATGGATGAAACCATATTAAACGCCAGATATGGCAATGTTAACACATTCTCGGACAAGCCCAACATGATTGAACAGAGTGTTAGTTTGGTGAAGACGCCCGAAGTGAAACAGCACTGCATTCAGAGGGACTCATACCGTGATGGCCCCTGCTGGAATATGCCAGATTGCTCCAGAATGTTCATCTGCAGCAATGATGATTTACTCATAGGGGTCCAGTAGCCAGGGGGTCAGAAACCACGGGACAAACACCGAGTACTTAGAACGTCATTTTGAGACATTTTGAGCTAGTTTGAGGGGTAAAATATGACCATTTCATTAAGCTGATTTGAGCTAGTTTGAGCTAGTTTGAGCTAGATTAAGGGCCCAAAATCCTATTAAGCCATTTTGAGGAATTGTCATTTTTGATTACAAACAGCCACCTTAAAGTAGCTCAAAGTAGCTCAAAGTAGCTCAAAACAAGTCAAATCAGTTGGACATCATGGGCTGGAGCATAATTCCAACCAACCACCTTAAAATAGCTCAAATCAACTCAAAACAACTCAAATCAGTTGAAATTTTGGAGAGGGGTCGTAATTCTGGAACCTTTTTTCGGTTGTGCGCACGCAACTGTCTGAATGGAGTGGACCGGTCACAAAGCAACAGTCGAATGTAGTGCAGTAAGAGAAACACATCCTAAGGCTAAAAACTGTTGGTTCTAATTCCACCCTTTGAAATTTGGCAATTGACCTGAGCAATTTTAAATTGCAATTGGTCAGACGTTTCTGGGCCAAAGTGCGAGCGTCAGCGCACACCTGACTTTGCAGCTAATGATAATAATTAGCAGAGTGTGTGTGCGTGTATATATATATAGATATGTGTGTGTGTGTGCGTGATGAGTTTGCACCAGAAATTCAATGTTTGAATTTTTTAGGTGTGAAACAGCTTTCCTTTGAGAAAGAAGCAATGCAGGAATGAATTCTCACACCAGTCAGTGTGACCGATTTGATTGCTTGGGTATGGGCCATCATTGACAAACATGTTATTGGAATCATCTAAAAATATTTGAATTTTTACTGGGTCGATATTACTAACTAATCATGTGGAATCTCCAATTCCTATTGTTGAGCCCATACCCACTGGGCGCCAAGTGCTGGTTTTTAGTGATGTGGTATAACGCACTATTGGATCGAGCTTATTTATCTGGGACCATCATGGTTTATTTATCCTACTGTGTGAAACATACAGCTTTGGCCGAACGAACAGTGCAAGGCCAGGCCACTCATTGACTTATGTCCTCAGTTTGGCTACCAAATGAACTGGGGAATGGACGGATGTTATTGATTATGGTTATGATTGCGGTTTTCCTGGGAGAACCCATACTCCTTCATTTTCTAACTTTGATTTTGAGCAATTCTGAACTATTTTAAGCTAGTTTAAGGTTTTGATTTTGTGGGAACCTGTGGAAAATAACCGAAAAATACTTCTTTCAAGGAATTTCAGGGACCCCTGCTAAAGGATCTGAGGAAATTTGAGCTATTTTAAGGCATTTTGAGCTATTTTAAGGCTTTTTGAGCTATTTTAAGGTGGCTTTGTGGGAATCTAAAGAATATATTATAACCCACAAAGAAATTGGGGAATGGACGGATGTTATTGATTCTGGTTATGATTGTGGTTTTCCTGGGAGAACCCAAGCCTCCTAAAATTTTGACGTTAAATTTGAACATTTCTGACATATTTTCAGGTAGTTTGCAGTTTTGATTTCATGGGAATATATGGAAAATAATCGAAAACTACTTCTTTCACGGAATTTCAGGGACCCCTGCTAAAGGATTCTGAAGAAATTTGAGCTATTTTAAGGCATTTTGAGCTATTTTAAGGGTGCTTTGTGGGAATCCAAAGAATATATTATACCACAACAAATGAATTGGGGAATGGACGGATGTTATTGTTATTGATTATGGTTGTGGTTTACCTGGGAGAACCCATGCCTCCTAAATATTTTTGTTAAATTTGAACAATTCTGAACTATTTTGAACGATTTTAAGGTTTTGATTTTGTGGGAACCTTTGGAAAATAATCGAAAAATACTTCTTTCAATGAATTTCAGGGACCCCTGCTACAGGATCTGAGGAATTTTGAGCTATTATGACGCTTTTTTGAGCTAGTTTAAGGGGGCGATTGGGGAATGGGCACATTTGCTCAGAAAAATAAGACATTTTACAGACGGTGAACACCTAACGGAAAACTTTGTACCCAAGTGCAATTTTGGCACCACACCACCCTATGCCCTTAGTGCTGTTGAAAGACACGGCCAGTCACCTCACATTCAGCTGCGGCAAAAGCAGTTCCAGTTCCACTCAATGTCCTGAGTTTACATTGGCTAGCAGAATTAATGAAGCAGCCAATGGTCAAAAAAAACCAGGAACGTCGATACCTCCCAAAACAATCCAATGGGGCAATAGCAGTTCACGGGGATATATATTATTGATTATAAGCTAGTTTAAGGTTTTGATTTTGTGGGAACCTGTGGAAAATAACCGAAAAATACGTCTTTCAAGGAATTTCAGGGGCCCCTGCAAAAAGGATTCTGAAGAAATTTGAGCTATTTTAAGGCTTTTTGAGCTATTTTAAGGGGGCTTTGTGGGAATCTAAAGAATATTTTATACCCCACAAATGAATTGGGGAATGGACGGATGTTATTGATTATGGTTATGATTGTGGTTTTCCTGGGAGAACCCAAGCCTCCTAAAATTTTGACGTTAAATTTGAACAGCTCTGAAATATTTTAAGCTAGTTTAAGGTTTTGATTTTGTGGGAACCTGTGGAAAATAACCGAAAAATACTTCGCTCAAGGAATTTCAGGGACCCCTGCTAAAGGATTCTGAAGAAATTTGAGCTATTTTAAGGCATTTTGAGCTATTTTAAGGGGGCTTTGACAGAATTGAAAAACCATCCAACTTGATCATGTATTGAATTTTGATCTCGGCATCCCCCACACCATCAATGCTGCCGAAAGACACTAGAGGACCCGTGCTTCAACTGCCTCTAACGCAGTCTTCAATTCTGCATCTGTGGGCCTTAATAGCAGGGAAAGGTTCGAATCCAATGAAATCACATTGATGCATTACAAAAGAAGTAGTTTGAGCTAACATGTATTAATAAATTAATTAATTGAAGTAGGTTAAGCTAGAATGATTGATGTAAATGAATGTAAATTAAGCTAGAATGAGGTAAATTGAGGTGAATGGAGGTAAGTTGAGATGAATGGAGGAAAATTGACATTGAAACAAACTGAGAAACAACATACAAACAACTTACCTGTGACTGTGGGTTGAGGTGAATTGGGGTGAATTGAAGTGACCTGGAATAAACTGTTTTATATTAGGCAAAAAGCAAAATTATGCTACACAATGTCCAAATGACGCTTTGTAGTCGGCTTTGTAGCTCGGTGTGTCACCAAACTTTCTGTGATAAGCCATGTGCAGGTGTTCAAAGACAACTGTCAAAGCTGCCATTTTCGATGCAAAACTCTTGTCTTTGTCAAATTTCTTGGATTTGGTCCTTTGCATCCCTCCCATGTCACCCTTGAACTCCACCCAAACATTGCTTGGGCCCCAGTGAAAGTAAATTGGAATCTCACAGGGCGGCAGGAAAGCCAAGAATGGTTGTGGTGCTTGATTTCGCGCGCCCGATGATCTAGGACCTGCAGAAGAGCCCGCTGGTTTTGCCCGTGCTTCTTTCAAAGCCGCATCTCCTGCTTTCACCATCACTGGTTCGTGGCCCTGGCTGGCCAATTTCTCCCGAATTTTTCTGTCCCTATGTTCCTTTTCTGCTTTTGCAGTCATCTCATCCATTGCCTGCTTGATAATTCCACCAAATTCCTTTTTCTCCGAAGGGTCCAAGCATGCAATCAACTTCAGCAATGTTTCACTGTTGCCGTCTGAAGCATCTGGAGGTGCCTCTTCAGATGGCTCGCTGATACCTCCCAACTTTCGAATCAGGGATTCCCGCTCTTGCTCCGGCATGTCTGGAAAAATTCCCTCAATCAGAGCACGTACGAGATCTATCTTGATGACACCACCTGATTTTCCAGAACCCTGGGTCGGTTCCACTATGTGAGAGAATGCCAGCAGATCCTTAATTTGTGCAACTGTCAGCTGCACTGAGATCAAAAGGCCTGCCTTGAGAACGTCTTGTGGTTCACCCGTCACAACTGCGACGACAGAAGCAACCCCTTCAGTCAGTCTCCCTGGCGGCTGGCAGCATGGTGGAATTGGTCTAGACGGTACATGGCTCCACTCGTACGGGTCGAAGATGGTTTCGAACTGAGGCCCCTCCATATCACAAACCGGCCACAAATAATCCTTCACACAAAAAAGGAAGCCCTCACATTACCCGATTTCAGCTCAAACTAGCTTAAAATACCTCAAACTAGCTCAAAATACCTCAAACTAGCTCAAAAAGGTTCAACATTTTCCTACAAATGCAGCTGATTCAGTTGGTTAAAATCTACGGGGTCCTTGGTGCCAACACGCGTCTTCTGCAGATCCCAAGACAGCCAGGCCCATTTGAAAGACCCCATGCACACCACATATCTGTCATCTCGAGGATGATAGTAGATCTCCCTTTTTTTCATCAGGCAACCTGTAGGCTGGCTTTGGGCAGCAATTGAGCCCAATGAGTTGTCAATATATATATATATATATATGTACACGTGTTTTTTTTGTATGTATATGCATTGCTATTTTGTATTATGGACCTTGCTAGCTCCTATCATCAAAAAATCGATCCAATGTGGAGGCAAACATTCAACAAATACTTGCCAGAACTCAGTTGGGGCACACAACCAAGCGTCCCCCACATTGTTGAAGTCGTGCTGAATCTGCTTCACCGCAAGGCATGTTGCAGCAACGGCTGTCCGGTTAGCTAAATAGCCAGCAGGTCTCCATTTTTTCTGCAA